ATGTATTTTGATAGTGAAACTTTTGGCATCACATTTATCCCCCGATATATCTTTTGATTCTCATTGATTTGGTTGATTTTCATGGTATGGAATGCATGTACATATACATGTATCTTTCTAGTCTAGAACTCTTTATACTGCTTCTATGATGCATTCCTGTGTTGGTTTTTACCTGATACTGAGGGCTGAGCTTTTAGTGGTCTAAAGCTCTGCTGTTGCACATGACATGGAGATTAGGGTCACCTGACATGTTCTTGTAAATTTTAGCAGAGAATTTATAGTTTTCTCACCATTGTAAAGGGAGCCTTTTTTATGAGGAATGTGTGAAAAAAAAGAAGTCAAAGTGTTAAGAGTAAATCTAATAAATGTTTTATTGAGGTAAATAGAATCTACTACCTATGTGGTATATATTACATAGTATTATATACATAGTAATAAATCTTTATTAACTATATCTTATACTTATATTATGTAATATGATGTCATAATATCTGTCCGTTGGTTAAGTATATTGATTTATTTTGTGATTGACATTTACTCTAGATAGGAAACACATGTCATATTAAGAAGATTTCTCTAAATATATACTAATTTTACAAGATTAAGGATTTTCTTTATGCTAATACTCTGTTAATGCTTCCTCTTATAAGCTAATGGAGAAATACACATCTTTTGGGAGGATTATTTTAAAATCTGCAGTGGCTCAGTGAGTATAGCGCTGGCTCAGTGAGTATAGTGCTGGCTCAGTGAGTATAGCGCTGGCTCAATAACCAGGCGGTCCGAGTCTGGATCCGGTTGTTGGCTGAGAAAGTTCCTAAGGGTTTCTGGGTATTTTTTCCGTGCTTTCCTCTTGTTAGTGGTGCTGTGATAAGGGTCTTGCAATAAACATTATCTAGTCGTTTGGGTGATACAAAACTATGAGGACCCATGTAAATGTTGGTGTACACGTTAAAGAACCTTGTTGGAATTTGACAAAGAGTATCTTGAAAGTTTCCCTCATGGTGTATGGCAAGCTTAGTACAAAGTTTTATGGGTTTTTTAAAACTTAATCAGATTATTGAATGTTAAAAAACACATTAATTTGGGTTTGTGGGGGGAATTTGAATTTAGCTTTTATTGAGTATATCATATGAATTAACTACAGAAAATCATCATAGAACTTTGAAGAACATTGGCACACTTTTGGCCATATGGTGCATTCTGTGTTTTGGAGGACATACTCATTTAATATCCATGTTCCCCCAAAATAATTTTTTAGAAAACTTTGGAATATATTATAAAACAGGAATGTAAGGATACAAAATTCCAGAGAACCATTAATAACCTTTTTCATGCTGACAATTATGAGATAATATATCAGGAAAGTATCTAGGGCCAATTTGGTTCCGGAAAACAAATGGGTGCCCAAATTATTTTATGCCCAAATTCTATGCTGACAAAAGTCAACGGTAGAGATGTTTACTCTTTATTTATTACCAAAATCAGATGAATCCAAAACCGAGGATGTTGTTAGTTAAATTTAAATCTTCATGCAATATAATCCCCTGGTTGAACACCAAATACACCGAGAAGCAGTCATTAATAATATATTTTTGAGAAGAATCTCCAATGGATGACAAGTGAATAAATCAGTGATGCTAGCTTTAGTTTTAAGTAGCACTTACCGTTATTTATTTTATTTTAGAAACCTGCTAACAGAGGCTTGATTTTTATAATATTGTCTTATTATTGAAGGCTATATGGCATAGTCGTACAGAATTTTATTTTAACAATGGTTGTTACATGATCATTGTGTCCTTGGTCTTTCATCGACGATTGAATAAAAACGTGCTAGACAAAAACTACAAATTGTGTCATGAAGAATGCCATTGTGTCGTATCAGCTTATTTTGACTACAACATTTTCCGATACTGACCAGTGAATATTCGCTTGGCCGCTAATATCACTGAAAGGAATGACATTGGTGCGGTTTAATTAGCTCACAATATTTACTTTTTTCTTTCTGCATATTAAATGCAAGAACATTTTTTGTGAAGTATTAGAAATATAGGTTGCCAGGCAGCGAAACATACACCCACAGCCTAAATAGTCCGAGCGGTCGACAAGGGTTTTCGCACATTTATTTTTTTGTAGATAATTGGGGCATTTATTTACAAGAGAATTTCATTCAGATCAGATTATAATTTTCGCCGTATGAGGGTTCACAAGGTTCTACAAACTGAAATAAGGGCCTTAACTCTGGAAGTAATGTCCAGAAATTGTTAAAATTTGACCGACTTTTTCATTTTACTAATATAAATTTCATACAGGTTGGATTATAACTTTTGCCATTTGAACTTTCACAAGTTCAACAAAGTAAAATAAGGGCCATAAAATTAAAAGTAATCAACAGAAATTGCTGACATTCAATAGGATTCTTGATTTCACTAATTTAAATAATGCATATAAATTTCATACAGATCGGATGATAACTTTCATTATTTGAGCATTCAAAAGGTTCAACAAGGGCCATAACTTTACAAGTAATTATTTGAAATTACTGAAATTCAACAGGCTTCTTCGTGTCACTAATTTAAATGATGCATATAAACTCCATACAGATTGGATAATAACTTTTGTCGTTGGAGCAGTCACAAGGTTGAACAAAGTAAAACAAGGGCCATAACTCCAGAAGAAATTAATGAACATTATTGAAATTAAATAGGCTTCTTCATCTCACTAATGTAAACAACATATATCAATTTCAAAACAATCAGATGATAAATGTAGTCTGTAGAGTGTTCACAAGAAATTGTGGACTACAGATGTACGGACGGGGGCGTTGGCAATATACAACCACATTTCCAATGTGGACGTATAAAAATGAATAAAGGTGTTTGAAGTCTATCTAGATAAAATATATTTCCTATTTAGTGTAAATGGGTTTATTAAATGAGTAAAAGGCACCATTCTGACTAGACCAGTTCACGTTATGTAAACATTGCAAGTGTGCTACCGATTTTCCAACGTGGTTTTCCCTTGTCAGTGATGCAGGACGGAGGGCCTGACAAGGACAGCTGTCTAGTCCTTCGGATGAGACGAAAAAACAGAGGTCCCGTGTAAACATTGGAATGCACGTAAAAGATCCCTTGGCAGTTGGAATTCGATATAAGAGTAGGCGATAGTGCCGCTGCCCGGGCAAAATTTCCCTCATAGCACACTGTATGGCATATGCCCGTCTTCATTAGCCCAGTATAGGAGCAGAACAGTAGGACGTTAAACCCCATTTCATTTCATTTCATTTCATTTCATTGCAAGTGTGCTATTGAGCCAATGATCAACGCCATGTGATGTGACGTCAAACGTCGAATGCATGATGAACTTTATACAAGTCAGTCAACTTATACAGAGTACTGTTCTAAGAAGAAGGCCTTCACAATCAAGTCTACCTCAAATATCATTTAAATACACTACTATCTATGCCTTAAATCACTCTCAATGCTATTTCCGGCAATGTACAAGTTATTTTTTCAACTTTTGAAATTCTTCAAGTCGATAGACCTTCCAGAAGCAAAATAGGAAATATTGTTATATATAGCAGTAGGGAAGCTAATAATTATTTTATGTTGAATTATTATTATAACCTTCGTATGTAACCAGTAGACATTTGCTTATATAATTTGATTAGCTTATTAATAAAATAGTTATTTATTAGTTATGTAATGTGTGATTATATTACTAAATCTTAGTTTTCATACATGTATCTTATTATTGATTGCATGTTTATGTAGTTTTATCTTATTTAAAGGAACATGTTCAGACTCCATGATATTTTACCATTAATGTCTGTCTGAACTATAGAATGCCAAAAAAAACCCCAGCTATATCATTTATTGCCTATATCAGTCTCACTATTGGTTATCGATAAAAGATTTAATTTGTGTAAACTTTACACTAATTCTGACAGGTGTTGAGTGGACATAAAACCCCATTCTCTCTCTCTAATTCTGACAGTCACATTTGAAGAAAACAAATAGTGCCTGGATAATCTAGACAATTGTGTTAACAAAATAAATCCGAGCTCATCCATCATAAAGAAAAAGCCAGAGAGTTAGTACGGTTACCTCAGTTATTAATATATCCCTTACCTTTGATAGGAATAGGGATGAAAACCATACAAATTCCATGTTTAGACATGCTATTATTCTATAACTACATGCAAATAAAAGCAAATATCATTGAATACAGTCATTGAATAACCTATGGTTGTATTCAATAGCTTGGACACATACTACTTTTGTCTAGAATGACGTCACTTTCAGAATTACGTCAAACTGTAATGACGTCACCACTAGGCAACCACAATTACTGGTGATGATTTTTTTGTGGGGTTACAGTGTATTTTGAGATTTGCATGTACTTATAGAATAAGAACAGAACTCAATGGCCATTGAACACCGCTCGTGGAATACTTGTGCAGCGATACACTCTCTTGAACCATTGAATAACCCAAGCGGTATTCAATGGTCATTGAGTTCTTTTTATTTATTGGAGCATTGAGCTTGATATCTGGGGAAAATTGAATCTTTAAACACAGCTGACTATAATATTTGGCAATATCACTTTAATAATAAAAAAAATTAAGATACAGTTATATAACAAATTAGTACGTAAAGTTTATCAACTAATTATAATATAACAAATTAGTACATAAAGATTATCAACTAATTATAATGTAATTATCAACTAATTATAATGTAATGTAAAGATTATCAACTAATTATAATGTAATGTAAAGGGTGGGTGTGAGTTAATTCAGTAGAATGCCTACTCTCATATTTGACTTAAAGTTCATTTTGAAATCAAGGGGAAACAACTCTTATTGTATTGATGTAGTCCGGTGCAGACAAATAGAATGCATGGAGGTTTAACAATTTTCATAATTTTTTTTTAAATATTTAATTGATTTCTAACCAGATAATTTCGTTTTGATATATATTTTGTATTACTTATTATTTCAGCCCTTATGTTCAGGCTTGGTAGAGTATCTATTTAGTATATTTTATTTTACGTTGCTTTGATTAATATGAGTGGCAAATATTTGTAGAATAATTGTTTGTTCTTTGATTCTTCATTCTTTCTTATTTCAAATCTGATACAAATACAAAATTTTGAAAATACATTTTTTTTTTTTTTTGAAAGAGACAGAACCTGTTTATGAAAAAGAAAAAAAAACTATTTGTATTTATATAAATAAAAAAGATGCTAAAAGTCTTAAAGGGATAAAATAAATATTAAACAAAAAAAGCAGTTAAAAGATACAAGACAATATTCTGAAACATAATTCTATTGATTTTTTTTTATCCAATACTGTTAATACAGTGTCCATAATATTAATCTAGATCAGTTTGCCTGATATCTTGTGATATATTTTTTGCTTGGTTTTGTATAGTTTCCATGGATGTTATGGATTTATTTATATTTTTTGTTTTAATCTTAATTAGAATATAAAAAGATGAAAAAGAACAAACAAATATATTCTTTATTACGGCCTAATGAACTAATAGCCCATAATGAAGCATTTTCGTCCATATGTTTTTGATTAACACTAACTGTACCTGTTAACTTATTACTTACTAATATGGTTCTTATATTTCATAATGGCATGGCTCCATTTGTATTTTATTTGATTAATTTTGTGTGTTCACTACAGATTATGGTAGAAGTTTGCTTTTGAGCCACCTTGTTATGCTTGCATATTTCTAATTCCTGCTTCCAATTGAACCATGGTTTATGTATTCTCAGTTATTTACCAAAGAAGACAAACTCAAACAATTTTTAAGTTTTTGATACAAATGTGTTTTCTATAGTTGTTTCTAAAAGCATCTTTGTTATTTATAAAGAGTCTTGTTATCTATTGGCGGTTGCTCAGTGAGTAGGGTGTTGGCTCGCTAACCTGGAGATCCTGTGTTCGATCCCTGCATTGGCCGAGAAAGTTCATCAGTATTTTCGGACATGGTTCCCCCTTGTCAGCTGTGTAGGATGGAGAACCTGGCAGGGGACAACGTGTAGTTGTTCTGATGGGTCGAAAAACTGAGGCCCTGTCACCGTGTACACATTGGCATGCATGTAAAAGAACCTATGACAGTTGGTATTAAAAGTAAGAGTAGGCCATAGCACTGCTGTTCAGGTGAACTTGGAAAAAGTGAGAGACGTACAACAGTTTCAGAGATAAAAACCACGGTAAAGGCATGGGCAGTGGATAATCCGAGAATTTAGGCTTTGCTATTTATGATGAATGGACAGCAATTAAAGACAACATCGTCTTGTATATGCAATGACTTCTCATTCGGCTTCATGCCTGTTGCTAGGTACTGCGTCAGCTAGTTAGCCAAGTCACATGACACAAACATGACTTCTTTTAATATAATTTTTTTTATAGCTTGGGTATTTTCTCAACAACTACAATGTTTTGAGAGGGATTTGAAGCAAAATTTTGATAGATTAATTACTTTGAATAAATTTTTAGTCCAAATATATCATCAAATCACACAGTTTGTACACGGAAAGGTATCTTTATTGACTCTAATTAACCAGAAAGTGCTGTCAACATTGACACAATACGCATGGAAGCATAAATATTAGCACATTCAGCTATCAATAACTAACTTTACTAAAATGATATTGTTTTGAGGGGTATTTAACTTTAAAAAGTCTGTTGGTTTATCCCTGACAAAACATTAGAATTTAAGATATTTGTAAGACTTAAAATACCCACATATCAGATAATGAGCAACTTCAAATCCTGTGAAGAACTGGTAAGAATTTATCAGGGTTTACAGCTACAGGCTGGTAAGAAAAAGCAGTTCACATAAAATATTCCATATTGATACAGTTGGGGATACCACAGCCTGTGCTAAATTTCCCTTCCTAAGATATTAATGTCATTTTTGTTAGGTTAAAATGATCTAAGTATTGCACAAATTTTAACTTCCATAGACAACAGAAGTAACATGTTACTCTACAATAGATTCTAATTTATGGCATCAAAACAGATGTGTATTTAATCTTTTGACAACCACTCTACAATAGTGTAGGTGCATTAGATACAGTAATTACGGTAGTTGGCTTGGTTACAAAGAACTCCTGCCAAACATTGAAATTCCAACATGGCTTCCACCTACATGATATTTCAGGAGACTGTAAAGTGTACTGTCATGTCGAGCAGGTGATGTTATGGAAGATTTTATTTTGGGGATATATTTACTTCATATTTAAATGTTATCTAATATATGTACTTCTTTATAGTGTTAAATGTTTTGAAAAATCTTGTGCCTTAGCAAATAATGCATTTCACTACGGTACCGTTTTGACATTCTTCTTTGGTACCATCTGTCTGTCTATCTATTTCTATCTGCTTGTTTTCAACCACATATAATCTATTTACTGCCAAACAGAACAGTACTGTTTGATCAACCTTTATTCTGAAGTACTAAGTAATAATGTTCTAAGGATTGGTAAATGTGAATACAATGTTTTATTTTTTTTTTAAAAATTATGGATTGTCTTAAATGGGAGATAACTCTTCAATGCATTTGCATGATATAATTCTGTGAGCTACAAGAAGCAAATATTTGTTCTCAATGCATTTGCATGATATAATTCTGTGAGCTACAAGAAGCAAATATTTGTTCTCATGCTGTTCAGTCCTTATTTTTTTTTGGGGGGGGGGGCAGTTATTCTACTTTGCCTGAAAAATAAATCTACAGAAATGGTGATCAACTATATGCCATACAAAAAAATGTATAATGCTTTTGAATGATTGTAGCATATTAAAAACGTAATATAATAATCCTCTTGGGGTCTACACTTAATGGCTCTCTTGAGTTCTTATTTAACAAGAAATGGCTAAAACTTGGTCAAAACCGGTTTAAACCTGGTCAAATCTCTGAGGAATGCATTCAACAGACATATCGCTTTCAAATCCACTTTAGACTATTATATTCTACAAGAAGAAGTTAAAATAATGATAGCCACAAATTATTTATACAATTTTATTACAAATCTTTGCATCTGTGATCCATTGTTATAGTTATATTGTTCATTGACTTATATTTACAAATCTATTACAAACATTTAAACAAATGTTTAAGTTACATTTTTGAATTCATGTAATTCTTGCTGGGTTGCATTAATTTTCTTTTGTGACACATAATTTGAAAGAATCACAAGTACAAATAATGGTGTATTCATTAGCTGGCTAAATTATTATTTTTTAAAATAAAAACCAAGGAGTTTTAGTTCCTAAACAGATATCTTTCTTCAAGCTTAATAAGGCCATTTCTTTGACACTGCACTTATGTTTGGCTGAAAGTATATTTCTGATGATCTGGGAAAATGTGACCTGGTAAACCAGTGCTCTTCCATTCATCGTTCTGCAAATGCATAATGGAGGATACGATAAAATTAGTAACATTTGAAGATCATTGATAATGGATTTCAACCAAATTTGGTAGGAAAATTTGTTGGGTGGTGCTTGTTCAGATTTGTGTAAATGAAGTTAATCTGCCAGAGAGGAACAAGGTGAAGGCATCTTAAAAGGGAAAAATTGAGATATTTTCCAACTTATTGAAGGGTTTCAAAAAAATTTGTCAAGTATTCTGCCTTGGTAGTGTTTATTCTGCTTTGCTCAAATGAAGTTCAAGGGACAAATTTAGCTATTTTCAAGTTATTATATTGAAATAAAATTGAAAGCCTAACCCAAACCCCCAAAAGGCAGTTAAAGCTACCATCGGTTCATTTATATTAAGCAAGAAATTTGCAATTAATGGTACATGTAATTATTAGTAATTATATATATAACCATACTTGTAATTATCTTATTAGTATACATTTATGGCTGTCGTAGATATTTGTAGATATCATAAACTGAGAAGCTATATACATTTACATAATACCCAGGGGGCAATATTGTGTTTATAATTTTGTGTATAATTTATTTCAAGCTCTTCGAAGAATAAGGAATTAATCAGTCTTGCGGATATTATGAAATCTTCACCTTCAGAAAACCATTTGTTCTTACTTTAAATAGGATATATATAATTTTAGAGCAGTGTGTTATGTAGTTGAATGTACCCTATAGACATTGTGTGATAGAAAAGAATACAATAGATCTTTGTCTTCTATACATGGATCTGTGAATTTTTTGCTGCTGGTATATAGATCTACCCACACTGTTAGTTTACTGTGTGGGAGTATACATTTTTAGTTGATTAACTTATATTCTCATCTTACATTGTACATGAATATTATACTTTGTATATTGGTTTAAATTTCTGTTGGTACATGTAGGTTAGTTAAATTTATTATTCCATGCCTGTAGTTTAATTGGAAATAAAACAAATCTGTTTATGAAAACCCAATTCTCTGAAACAGTCTTTTTAGGGAAACCCAATTCTCTAAAATCAAACCGATAATGATAATAATTATACAAATTATAACAACACTCTATTAATATAACTAAATTGATTTTAAAATACCCAAAACAGTCTTTTTAGGGAAATCCAATTCTCAAAAATCACAATACTCTATTTAAATGTTTAAAAAGTTATACTACATCTTTGCTTAGAATCATTTAAAATGCTATGACAATAAGGTATAACTGATAGTAAAATGATTTTATGATCAAAGAATTTATTATAAGGAAGTAGGTATCCCGTGTCTTGTTATATCTGGAATATGCGTGGGTACAATTAGATTAATGATCTAGTTGGATAAAATCAAGAAAATTATAAATTTATAAATTGTCAAATTAGATTAAGTGAATGAAATGGATCAACTTGAAGATAAAAATTATCCTCTAAGTTTTATAAATCAGTTATATCGTTTCATTTACAGGTAAGTTTAATCTATGATCTAGACTGCTTTGCATAATTTTATACCATAGGAATGAATGCAATAATAACATGCTGCTTAAAACAATATATATCAAAAACTGCATAATGATTTCTATCACAATTATGGAATGGACCAAAACATTCAAATTCAACTCAAAAGTTTATAAAGAAATGTAAATTTCTGAGCAAATTGACTAAATGATATCTGAAGTAATTTATAGATACTGTACCCATGTGTGATTACATAAATATAAATATGGTTTAACAAGATGCCCAAACTAATAGTGTATCAAATCTCCGAAACTATTTTTTAAGTGCTCAGAAATCGAGTCTAAGGGAGTCAATTTTCAACCCCCCAGCACAGACTCTCACCTGCGGTGTTCTCGCACCTAAAGTGCTTGCGGGTCATGCTTTGCCTGACATTGCCGCGCACGACCAAATCCTTAGACGAGGCTCTGTGTTCAGGCTATCATTTTCAAACAGTTCCATATATAGGCTATATCTTTACATTTTGACTTTTGTTTTTCATCTTCAATGGACTAATTTTTTTTTAGCAAACCAATTTAAAAAACCTTAAATTGATTTGTAAGTAAGAATAAACATACAAAAAATCAAATATATGCACTGCACACTTAAGACCTGTCACTATGAATGACTTTGGTGCCAGACTGGTATGCTAAACGTCACTGTATTGTGATTAAAACCTTCTATTCAAATATAATGTCATTTACAAGAATTTGTTTAGGCTATAAAGTTACTCAAGTTGCATTTCTTGTCAATCATCAATAAAATACAAGTTAGCAGGGCTCACACTGGCTTTCAAATTTTTTCCGCCAAAATGGATGATAATTTTTGTGTACAAAAAATGTTCATATTTTTTTCCACCAACTGGAATATTTTATCTGCCAAAAAAGACATCTAACAATTTTACCGATATATACAATACAATATATAACAACTTTGAAAATCTGTCTTTACATAATAGATTAGCAAAGTTTGGATTTAATAACATCAGATTTTATTTTTGGTGGCTTTAGTCTATTTGAACACAATACTGCAGTACTATTTACACATCAAAATCTCATCCAAGGATCGCCAATTTTCTATAAATTTTTGTGTTGCGTGCACAATGGGCCTATTGTTGTTTTCAGGTACTGTAAGGTATCAGAATCTGAATCCCTGATAGAATGGTATAAATTTCAATTATATTTGTAAGAGATACTTACAATTATACTTGTTGTTAGAGTATTTTAGCGATGGTGATATGATACAAATGGCAAACTGTTCTCTCGCTCAAGAATCTCCACTATTCAACTTGTTTTTAGTTTTCGACCAGTGGTGATAATTTAATTTGAAATAATGATATCCGATAGGCATGCTTGTATATTTTACATGCCTTATATGAAGCCACTGTAAACCGATTTCAGCTATCAAAATATTTAATTCTATTCGAAAGAAACTGTCAGCCATTTTGATTACATGTATTACATTTTTTTTTTTTTTAAGACGAAACGAAACATCAAATAATCACTGCTGGGATTAATCATTAGGAGTACATAATGACTTTATATATATATCATTGACAATTATCAATCAACTAATCATTAATCCAAGACAACAGATTAGTATTACTCATTGACGCGATCAGGATTATCAGCTAGTTGATTAATTTCTAGTATCCCACCATGTGATTGATACTCAATGATGCTTAATCCAGGATAAATCCGATTAGAATTTTAAGATTTTTTCCCGCCAGTTCTCAAAAAGAATCACCAGTACCGCAAAACATTATCGCCAAAATCAAATTTTAATCGCCACTTTCATTTTTTTATCGCAAATTGCGACTTTGGCGACCGACAGTGTGAGCCCTGCAAGTTAGTATCTATGATTTAGGAAAATGACACATGATAACAACACTTGGGTGAAAAACAAGCAGGTAATTAATTACACCAATCTTGATTACAAATGATGCCTCACTTACAGAGCCTTCTTCCCATGTAAACGGGTCCTCATTCTGAGCATGAATCTTGTAAGAAAATAAACAACATTTTATTCTTGGTAAGGAACTAAGTAGAAGTGAGGAAGAGGAAGATAATGTTTTTTCCTCCTTTGGAAAAACATACATTATAAAATTAAAAATCAGTTACTTTAAAGAAAAAAAACTGATGAAATGGCCTGCAAATATTATCAACAGAAAATTTATTCTTATGTTGCAAACGATATGTATTTTCTTATTGAAACGTAAGAAATTGATTATTTTGTAAGAATATTATTTTTTAATTACAGGAGAGTAGCTTTAGATCAATCATTGATGGATTTTAAACTGTCTTTTTAAATTTACAGCGATGGCGGTTTTCTATCCCACAACACATCCCGGGACACCTTCCCAGCACCAATCCCAACAAAGGTTGTCAATTATAACTCAACAAAGGAACTCAGTCAATCAACAGACCCTTTATATGAATTACCGATGTACAATGACTACAATGTGGTAAGTTTTCATAAGTTCAATTGTCTGCCTGTAATGAGACCACTCTGAATCAAAAGCAACAAAATAGTTGTTCCATTGGCACTCAGCATTGGCCTTGTATTGGATGTAATAATATTGGGAAAATTTCTTATCAGCCCCCATCTGGTGAAACATGCTAGTACACACAGTGATAACAACCCTGATCTTATAGCTTATTGAATCAAGATACTGAGTTGGTCGTTAAGCAGGATTTCACTGTATACTGTTACACAATTTTGAGAAACAGATCAAATGTGAGTGTGAAGGTGAGAAATTAGTGTGGTGAATGCACTCCTATTCGCAATTCGATGGAACTGTTACACACTTCCATGTCGTTGATTTATCCCATTTCAATTGCTTTACAGAAGCTTTGATTCAGAGTGGCCATGTTAGCAATCCTTGTCTCTGGGAATTATTTTGTTAGTTATTACCCTGTAGATTATTTCAGCATTTTTTGTGTGATTTCTTCAAGTATGCAGTGTGAATGGAAGTTAAAAAAAGAACATATTTATTATTTATTATCATTATAAAAAGATATTGCCCTTTATGCGACAGTGTAGTGACTTTCACAATGTCTAAAAGTGAAGATTTCAATACAATGAACTAGAGTGCTGTAATGTAGCATCTTCTTGATTAAATACTTCAATCCCTTTCAGTATTCACAATGATATGTGGATTTGTTTCATCGATCTATGTTGCTCTCAATGTAATAAGTTTGTCGCCATTTTTTTTGTCTGCGAAATTCCTTGCAATATTGTTAAAGATGAATGTCTAATACTATAGAAATACCAGTCCAAAAATGGTTTAGTTCCATTCAGTATATACAAAGATAATATGTAGGCAGGCCCATTTAAAATCTGATTGAATCTGGCGTTTGTATTTTGATTTTATTTTGTTAATTATAAATGTTAAATAATCAATCAGATAGCATGAATTAGACCATAAAAAATTTGATATTTTAGCAAAAAATGCAAATGACAACTCATTACTATAAGAGTGTCAATTTCGGGAGTGTTGACAGATCTACGTACATAAAGGTACTGTAATATGAAATACAGATTAAAAATGGTGCAACTATGTACACCAGAAGTCGTATCTGGCACAAGTTTACATAACTTGTTTACATATCTGTTCTGATCAACAGAATAAGTCTAATGCGCCAGAAAAAACATTTTTAAATTCTAATTGGTCATGAGTTCAATAACAATTAGTCAAAGCTAATTATTAAAAAAATCAATATAGTTCATGTAAATTGATTGCTGTAGAATGAGTAGTCAGTTTTAATGATTGTGTATGACGGAAGGTGAAGAAACTAATTATAAACAGTAGCAACAAGCATCAATAATTTATTCCAACACCTGTGATGACTGGTCTCAACTTCTAATGTTAACTGTTCACATTAAGAATAAAAGGGTCATAGAGGCAAGCAGCTGTGTTTGGTGTGATACACATTTTATGAGGATATTAATGGATCAAGAATATATTAGCCTTCTAATATTTATTGTTTAACTGACCACAAGAGTATGACAACTAGTCAACAGGATATAAATTTATTATGATAGAAATTACTACAGGATATTAATGGAAATATCAAGATAATATCAAAATATAGGATTGGTAGTACACCATTGTTATAGTGTATCACAGGATAAATGTTTTTATAATGTTTGATATGTACTTATCTTATACCAGGAAATTTATTTTGTGTTTTACACAAAAATAGGTTAAAAATAGTAATGAGTAAATTACAATTTAAATGGAAATTGACATACTCCAGTACTGTCAACCATTATTTCTGCTCAGGGGATTGGGTGTCCGATTTGGTTAACCTGTGCGCGTTGCTTCATAAAGTCTGTGGCGTTGATTCTCTGCTTGTAATTGACGAGTAGTGTCACCTGTCCAGCCTCATGGGTTTTCTCTGGATTCTCTGGTTTCCTCCCACAGCTAAAGACCCCTACATGCAATCGAATTCATGAAATAAATTTGAACCATATGATAGTCCCAAAATGACCTAGTTTGTGTTGAGTGGACATTAACCCCCATTTCTCTCTCTGACTCTCTTTATTTCTGCTCTTCCAATCTTTGGAAAAAGGATAAAAACTCATCTCATTTAATGAGATACCGGTAATTAATATTATCAACTAATAAAAGTCAAGTGTTCTAAACAATTTAAAGGCTACTAAAATAATTTAAAAACTTACAAATAAAGCAATGAGCAGACAAGTGTATTTTTTTGCCTGATCTTGGAATTTGCCAGTGATTTTTTTACGTCCAATCACAAACGGGCACACGTAGCGATTGTCTGAAGAGCGTACACAACTCTGAGAGTAAATTACGTTGATCACGTGACTTGTGCAGAATGTTGAATTGCCGAAAACTTAAGATTGCTGTGGTAGCTCCTATTTATGTGCTTCTAAAACTCTGGAATCTGGACGTCAAACAGGCAAGGCCTTTATGACCGATGAATAATCAGTTCTTCATTTGTCAGACTCAAGGCAGCCATTTTGAGATCATGTGATAGCAATGATGTCTCTGATTGCCGTATGAAAATGGTTTGGCCAAAAAATATCTAACATGCTAGATATGTTTGATCAGTCAGGCGAATGGTTTGCAGAGCAGAATCGTTGTCGCTGTGAACTGGCACATGGGCGATTTTTTTTACAAATGATTTTAAAAATCGGTGCGATTGGGTGAAAAAATACGCTTGTATACACAATAAGATTCCAGAGTGGTGCATTAATTAATTTTATGCAGAGGGACACTGAAAAACTAAGATTATTAGATGGTTTTTTTAACCTTGATTTAGAAAATCCCATTTAGTGACATATACACATTTTCTTAGTTATTGCCCCTGCCGCCATGGAATCCTTGTAAGCATTTTAAAGATAAAGAGTTTTTGTGACGTGATACAGTTTTTGAGACTGAGATTAGTGAGATACAGTTTTTGAGACTTGAATCACAACGCACTGTGACATTCTTTCCACAAAACTGGTAATATATATATATATTTTTTTTTGTTGCCTTCTTTATATTTATCATTTTAGTGATAAAGAAATTAAATTAACAAATTGTAAAAAAATTTATATGCAAATTAATTTGTCTTAGGAGTGAAAGTATTTGTTTTTCTTGTCATTTTTCGTGTTGACTGATATTTTGAACGTGAATGTGTTTTTGGGGGTTACAGTTTTCAAAATATTCATGGTATGCGGTTTATATACTTGTAAACATAGTTAGCTATATAAAACTGTTTCTGTATATTATATTGTAGTCTATCTCTCTCGTTTACTTTATTGTTGTTGTTAAATGGAGCGATATTCTCTATCATAATCCTTGACGTCTCAACTCTTTACTTAAACATATACTTGACTGGACAGGCATTGGCATTTATCAAGTATTTTATTTTACGCTTCATGATTCAGTAAATTAGATGAAAGATGGCAGTGATGTGGGTTTTTTCTTTCTTTTCTTCTAGTTTAAACAAGAATTCAGTGAGACACTTATATAACTTGGTTATTGAAGTTCATGTTAAAAAATATTGCTATGATAATCATTTTTATTCCCATGAAGTCGAATACATACTTCAACATGAATTTTGAAATGATTTCAATAAGATGTTTGATTAGAACCTTGTAATGAATTGTTAATGATAAGAAAAGGTTAAGTAATATGTATGTGCACTCAACCATGTGCAATTTCATGTAAAAGAAATAATTCTAACATGGGAAACCTTATTTAAAAATCTAAGTGAATATTAACTTAGACAATCAAATTTTATGTAGTGATATTCAGGGATGTAAGTTACGGGATATGAAACCCAAAATATACTAACATGCAAAGAAATGGAGCCTGTCATACTTATTCTTCTTTAATGTACATGTAGTAAAATTTAAACAATTTCCTTATCGTGATTACATGTACATCCATTTGGCGGATTTGCTTTACATGCTGTTGATAGAAAGTTTTAAGGATCAACAAAATTGTGATCTAATTTTACTTGAATAGTTAGATGGATAAACCCAATTCTACAGTTTAAGCTCCTGTACTTGCAAAATACTTGAATGGTTCCCATCGTTAATATTTCAGTAACATCACTTACTGTAAATTACATTAACAAACATTATTTTGATACCTAACCAATTTAAGAATTGAGAGTTTTCAAATGGTGTATATGAGAAATGTGGAGATTTGTAAGATTCAGTAAGGTTGTAAATGACAATAATATGGTATGTTTTAACCACATGGAAAGACTGGAAATGGTTGGTTTCTATGAATTGATAACAAAATTTCTACATTAAACTTATAGTAAAATACATTGGCAAATGTGTTTTGAGTATTTTGTAGCGTTTTTATTTATTTATTTATTTTTTATTTTGAAATTTTGGAATATTCTGTAAGCTAAATTAATGTGTGTGTGTGTTGGAGGAGGGTGGGGGATGTAATAATTTGCAAAGATATAAGAACAGGTATCTTTTAATAATACATGTACTGTGTAAGTGCAGGAAAACCACAGATTGTAACAAATCAAAAGCTGAGAGAGTCAGAATCAACTATTGGTACATGTTACTTTATACATTACCATTGAAATATTTGATTTTGAAAGTGGTCAGTGATGAGGAGATAAATATAATGTACATATTTACTCATTATTTAAAGATTGATCTAATGGCTATGATTTATTCATGACAACAAAGGGGTCTGTAAATCCCATTGTTTTAATACAAAGGAGGATAGCTTTAATGAAATAGAGGTCGTATTGCTTTAACCTGACATTCCAGTAGTTGAGATAAGCCATTTTAATGCTTGTCTATTCTATCTCTAGAATATGACTAGTTTACATAGTGAATGAGGTTACCTAGTTGTTTAAATTTGACCCAAGTTAGACTCAGTAAAATAGGACAAACCTATATAATAAATAGATGAAAACTCTGACATAATCAAGAGCTAACTTCAAAGAATATGGTCATAAAACCCTTACATAAATG